CCCCTCTTCCACAGGTATGCGTTGTCATTATTTAATAATAATAAAAAAGCGGATTAGATCCGCTGTTTTTATGGGCCACGGGAATTATGCATGATGATCTGTATTTGTATGGTTTAGGTCTGTGCTGGTTTTGTGCGATTTTTGCAACAAGGACATGAAGCCCATTAGCAGACGTGCTCAGTGGCGGTTTCTGATATGGAAGGCATGGCAACCGCCCAGGGCATCATTATGTGGGTGGCGGCATGATGTATCTATACTAAAATGATAAATTCTAGACACTTTTTATGATAAACTGTACTTTCTTTGGCACTTTTTCAGATGGTCGATAGTAGGGAATTTTCCATAAAGAAAGAAATCTAAAAAAAAAAAAGTCTATTTTCTGCCAACAATATAGAAAAAACTACTAAAGATAGCCATAAATAAATGTTTTTATATGATGCTGCAGCCTAATTGACATCTAGGAAGGAAGTTTCAATGAAATGCATTTAAAATATAAACATTTTGGTGTAAGTCAAAAATTCTCTAAAATTAGATTTTTTTAAAAACAAACAAAAAATCCCTATTTCCTACCAGCAGTATCAAGGAAACTATTAATGATGGCCAAAAATGGATGCCTTTATGTTATTCAGCAGCCTAATTTATCTCTAGTAGAGAAGTGTTATTGAAATCTGATGAAAAATACAAGTTTGGGGAGTGATCAAAAAATACTTAATTTTGTCAATTTTTGAATTTTTTTTCCATCCGTCAAATTAGCTTTGAAAGCAGTTTTGCGGCCTAATAAATCTTTATTGAACCCAGACCCCTACAAAAAATGAGCCTGTTAAGACCACATAGCAGGACGGGCAAAATAGTTTTTGGGGCTTGGTTTCAACATATATTTTTTAATATAGTATCCCAAACATGCCATTCTCTGCTGTCAGGGTAATATTGAAATTTGTTTTATTTTTAAAAATTACATATTTTAAAAGTAAACTATTTATACTGTACATATTCATGTTTTTCGATATGATTTATATTTAAAGGATGTCATTACAAAATAAGTGTCAAATTTACTTTTTAAGTAATCGGCTTTCAAAAACCCCATCTTTTTCTACTCAAAGGTGGGTTTGTGGCAAGGTACACCTACCCCCCAAAATCTCGGAAACCGTTAGAGATAATGGGCTGAATTTTTTTCTGCTCTTTTCTGGTAATGCACTTAATAGAAAAATGCATTCAGAGTACAAAAAATATAAAGAAAAAAATTGGTTGCCGGTACCTAGTATCACTGCGTTGATTCCCGACTCTATAATGGTTGGTTGAGAATAATTTTAACTAATTTACTTGTGTATTTTTGAGAAAGCGATATATTTGCTACAATATTTTTTTAACTTTTACATTTATTTCCACAGACACTCCACAGAATGGGAGTCACATTTGTGTCAATCAGAATCTTCAGGAACGTCCTGATGTCCGTGATGAGGACAGAGATGCAACTGTGTGTGAGTATCTACTATTTTAGAATGTTGATGATATTTTATGCTTCAATATTGTTTATGTACATAATGTAATTATGCTATGTATTGACAATGCACAAAAATGTTTTCCAGCTGCATCCAGGACCTACTGCCAGTCATCTGGATGTTGGTCAAGAAAGAAGCAGGTAAGATCTAGAGATGTCACAATTCTTTGAATGATTAAAGTACTGTAATTTATTAAAATCAATCAAGGCAAATTATCTGCCTCAGAGTTTGTTGAACTATGTTTTACTATTTATTACCAACTGCTTTTAATTCTTTTTTTTCTTCCAATTGTTTCCAAGCGCTTTCTCTTTTTCATTGAAGTTTTTATTTTTTGTAAGAATGTATTAATGTGTTTTTTTTGTTGTTTGTTTGTTTTAATGTCTTATGTGTGCATACTAAGCTGGAAGTTGCCAAACATTTTCACTGTAGCTCATAATAATTGTCTGTCTGTATTAACAGCTGATGGAGGAAGGCAGAGAGTACTGGCAGCAGAGGACGTGGCATTCTGGGAGGATGGCAGCTATGAGGCGGTGTCAGGATGGACCCCAAGTTCCTCCAACCAGGAGCTCAGTGACATCAGGACTACATTACAGGAAGAGACGTCAGGTGTACAAGACAGGAAGAGACGTCAGGTCTATGCTACAGGAGAGATGTTGGGCCTGTCCTGAACGCA